GTCTGCTTCTCCCTCTGACCCTCCTCCCTCTCATGCTCTCTGTCTCTCATTCTCTCTCTCGCAAATAAATAAAATCTTAAAAAAATATATATAAAAAAAAAAATTTAGTGAACTCAGGGATGCCTCGGTGGCTCCGTTGGTTAAGCGTCTGCCCTCAATTCAGGTCATGATCCCAGGGTCCTGGGATCGAGTCCCGCATTGGGCTCCCTGCTCAGAGGGGAGTCTGCTTCTCTCTCTCCCTCTGCCCCTCCCCTCTGCTTGTGCTCTCTCTCTCTCCCACTCAAATAAATAAATAAAATCTTATTAAAAAGATTTAGTAAATTCATTTATAAATTAAGTGAAGAAACAGAATAGCAACATCCATATCATGTAAAAAATGTTCTGGGGTGCCGTGCCCATTCAGAATTGTAGCTCAGATGAAGCTGGTATAAATACTGAAGAGTATTCATGGAAGAATCATTAGTTCTTCAATAACCACTTTCTCAAGTTACTTGTACACATAATTTTCAAATATTCTATCAGGTCTGCGATATTTTTGGGAAGAAAAGCAGCTACTGTTACTGGTTATCAGTGGGATAACCAACATAATAGTAAGACTTGAGAAGAGGAGTGATGAGTTGTTCCCTTTTACGAAAACTAAAAAACGTGAAAAGTTAAAATTAAACAATAGATATGAAATTTCCTTAGTCCCTGCTGATCAGTGTAATTGTTTCATTTCGAATTCATTGCAGTATAATTTGCATATAGCAAAAATGTACCCAGTTTAAGGGAATGCCCCTGGTGTCTACTCTGAGGCGATCCTGACTGACGGGCTGAGTGTGGGATCTACAGGATGCTGGGGCAAGAGCTCACCTCTTCGGTCTTCACAGGTGAAGGAGGAACTTGCCAAGGCTCCATCCCATCTGGCAGCAAGAACACTCCTGACCCCTCTCACCAAGCCAGGAAGCCTCATGTGCCAGGGACCCCAGAACCAGGAGGAAGTGAAGCTGTGAACCAAGTGGGAAGCCTGCCCCTGGGTTCTGGGAGGCTCGGTCAGCAAGTGTGAACTTCAGAGTCGGGCTCCACTACCTACGGCCGGCTCTCCAGCCTTGAGCGCGCTGGCCAAACCTCTTTAAGCCGGTTTTCTTACCAGACTGAAGGGCAAATACCTCTGCAGGACGCAGGTGAAAATTAAATGAGACAGTCCATCACTAGGAAGCCACAATACAGGGACTCTCCTCATGCCAGCCTTGATTACCCACAGTGTCCCTCCGGGGCCTGCCACCCGGGGCTGTCTCCTAGCTGACACGTTCATACCCACTCTGGCTCTGAAAGGCACAAGAGCCAAATGGGCAGTTGAGGCTAAAGCGTATTTAATGAAAGGCTCCCGGCACCACTTTCACCCGGTTTCAACATGTGGCGTCTCTCTCCGCAGAGGCCAGGTTGCTATTTCCTCTGTTATCCAAACAGCCCAGGGAACTAGGACGTGCCGTCACAGCCCCTTTCCACGGCCCCGCCCTGCAGTGAGGCTGTTGGTCCAGGCTGAAATGCCACTTCAAAGGTGTACAGATCCATTCCGACCCGTCGCTTTATCTTTCACATCTGAAAACGGTCCAAGGTCGCTCTGTGTGCTCCTCAATCAGGTCACAGAACAGCAGGAGACATCCCTTTGGCAAAAAAGGACACACTTTTGTCCTGTATCTTGTACTGGTAAGTGAGGCTCCCGTCCCGCTGGGCTGTGGGCTGTGATGGTGTCCGCCAGAGGATCCTCAGCTACAGGGAAAAGGAGAATGAAAGAGAAGCAGCCCCCAAGCACCTGCCTGCTCCACCACCTGCTACCGAGGTCCCGGTCATGTGCCATGCAGCATGTGACCCACTTCGAAAACGAAGCTTATTACCAGCTAACTAAAACTAAAGATTCCCCCTCTCCGATACAGGAGTGACACCTGGCCGTTACAGAAAATCTGTAAGAGAAAGAAAAAGAAAAACAGCCATCCAGGGAAAAACCACTGAAGTAATTTGGTCTTTTTTCTATGCGTGCTTTTGTGGGCTGCACTGATTTTGAGAATCGACTCAGTACCTTCCAACCAGTACAGGCTCGGGAAGGCTAGAGGTTTATTCTGATGATGTCTCAATGCTAGGCAGGCTAGGATGCTCCACGGGACTGGCCGCAGAGAACCCTCTCCGAACCCTCTCCTCCCGCTGTGCACACAGGTACTACCACACGGCATCTCGGGGCTCACCCATTTGTTTTCTTTTCTGACTCTGGGCCAAAACTCCCACCCATGCCTAATGGGCCAAGAGTGGTCAATGTCAAGTTAACCTGGAAGCTGTGGTGGGGGTGTGGGAGGAGATTCTGAAAGAAAAGTTCCAGAAGGCAGAGAACCATGGCAGCCCCTTGGGAGGAGGTAGAACCTGACCTCCCTCACAAGGCAGGACTCTCGGCTTCTGCCTGAGTTCTCCAACATTCTGGTCAGAGGCAGCAGCGGGGGCAGCAGCAACCCCAGCCACGGGTATGGTCCCCCCAGGTTTGTATTTTAAAAGGAGCAGCATTGATCTGAGTAAACAAAGCCTTCTGTGGTCCTGCAGAGGCATTCTGCTGTCGGACAGCAGGGGCCCTGCATTCTGCTCCAGATGGCGGTCTCCTTTTTAGGAAGTTCTGCTTCGATCACAAATGGAACCACCATGGAAAACGTGCACTGGTGTGTGAGGCTAGCCCCATCTGGAACAGACTGTCTTGCATTCACACAACTCCTGAGGTTTCCCTTGCACCCGAAGGAACGCCCCCAACCAGACAGCCCCTAGAGCCTGACACTATCCCACGTATGGTCTCGGCTCAGGTGCAGAGGCAGCAGCTGGTGGCCCCATGAGCCCCTGCACACCTGTCCATGCACGTCCCTGCAGAAGCCCGTAGCCAGGCCCTCGGCCCGCAGGATCAGGTGGCTCTGGTGACTAAGGCCATTCAAGAGGATGTCATTCTCCTCGTCCTCGCCGTCTCCACTGTCGTGTACCAGGGTCACAATGTTTCCCTGCAACAGAGAGTCAAGATGAGAACCTGCTCCTCCAGGCAGGGCCATGAGGGAGCACTGGGCTTTCGGTGCCTCCAATTCCCTGCATGTCTTCGCCCTGATCAGCCTTCATGCTGCTACTACTGGGAAGGATCCTTGCCTGTGCTTCAGGACCCTAATTCCAGCCTCGCCAGCACATCCAACCTATCCTGCCAGCTCAGTCCCTCTTAAACCAAGCTCAGCTCAGCCTGTGGCCCTCCGTGTTAGCAAAAAGTGCCACCTTTCTGCCAGGCTCCTGAGTGCTCAGCAAGCGCCGGACTGCAGCGGGGACCAGAGGGGAGCAGTGTGGGCCCTGGAGACAACACAGGACACAGGCCAGGAGAAAGGTGAGCATGGGGGGCTGAGGGAGCACAGGGAAGAGGCATCATGTCTGGCCCAGCAGAGACGGTCAGGAGGTGGACACACATGAGCAGAGTTAGAAGGGCAAGCAAGAGTTAGCCAACCAGAACCGAGGGGGAGGTCGACCCATTGAAGGGGATACCCTGAATAGTAAGTCCTTTCAGAGGTATAGTGTCGAGTTGTTCAAAAGAATGAAGCAGACCCGAGCGTTCTGTTCTTGGGCAATGGACACCAAGATACAGGTGTGCTATGAAATGGCATGGCAGGTGACCAGCAACGTGAAGAAAAATGCAGAGAGGGGCGCCTGGGTGGCTCAGTCGGTTAAGCGTCTGCCTTCGGCTCAGGTCATGATCCCAGGGTCCTGGGATCGAGCCCCACATCGGGCTC